CGAATGGTTAGAGGCACACTGAACCTAAACGTTAAGTTGGAGAGGTCTCGTCTAATGAAGTCAACGCTCCGTCCCCCTCGTGCTCTGTTCCAAAGTCCCGAAACCTTTCAGCTCGAGTTACAAAACCGTTTTCAGTGCCTGGAAGACTGCAATGAAGTGGACGATATGAATGACAAGCTCGTGGAAACTGTCCATGCGGTCGGAGCTAAGTTCTGCAAGACCCGCCGCAGAAGAACACAAAAACTCTCCGATCACACTCTTAATCTCATGGCTGTTAGACGGGAGATGAAGCTACATTCTTCAACAGACTTGACAGCATACAGGCATCTGAACAGACAGATCTCCAAATGCATGCGGCGGGACTTACGCAACTTCAATACAGCTCGTATTGAAGAAGCGATCGAGCGGAACCAAGGCTCCAAAGTCTTTGCCAGAGATCTGTCTGCCAGAAAGAGCCAACTGTCAAAGCTGAAGACGGAATGTGGCAGCATCGTTTCCGGGACACCTGAGATTTTGAGTGAGATTGAGAGGTTCTATGGGCAGCTGTACACATCATCGTTGGAGCCACACGCAAGTGTGAGTAACGATCCAAGAGCGAGTCTCATCCGACACTATTCCGAAGATATCCCGGATGTCAGTCTGAGCGAGATTAGGATGGCTCTCCAGCACCTTAAAAACGGTAAGGCCCCAGGCGAGGATGGAATTACAGCGGAGCTTCTGAAAGCGGGTGGAAGACCGGTACTTGAAGTCCTTCAGAAGCTCTTTAATTCCGTCCTCCATGGTGGCATTACACCGGAGGCGTGGAGCAGAAGTGCGGTGGTCTTGTTCTTCAAGAAAGGTGACAACGCTCTCTTGAAGAACTACAGACCGATTTCCCTTCTGAGCCGCGTCTACGTGCTGTTTTCGAGAGTCATTACGAATCGTCTCGCGCGCAGACTTGACGACTTCCAGCCTCCCGAACAAGCCGGTTTCCGAAAGGGCTTTAGCAGCATAGACCACATACATACCCTTCGACAAGTTGTACAAAAGTCCGAAGAGTACAATTTGCCACTATGTCCGGCGTATGTGGACTATGAGAAAGCCTTTGATTCCGTCGAAATTTGGGCGGTGCTGCAGTCCCTTCAGCGGTGCCAAGTTGACTGTCGGTATATCGAAGTGTTGAAGTGCTTGTACAGTAGGGCTACGATGGCTATCCGAGTACAGAACCAGAGTACGAAACCTATCCAATTGCAGAGAGGTGTAAGACAGGGTGACGTCATATCCCCGAAACTCTTCACCGCTGCATTGGAAGACGTTTTCAAGCTTCTGGACTGGAAAGGATACGGTATCAACATCAATGGCGATTGCATCACTCACCTTCGATTTGCCGACGATATAGTCCTTATGGCAGAATCGCTGGAGGACCTAAGCACTATGCTCAATGACCTCAATAGTGTTTCCCAACGGATAGGTCTTAAGATGAACATGGACAAAACAAAAATCATGTTTAATGTCCATGTCACACCTATGCCGGTAGTTGTTGGGAGCACTAAGCTCGAAGTTGTTGATGAGTATGTTTACCTGGGACAAATAGTCCGACTGGGTAAGTCCAACTTCGACCGAGAGGTCAATCGACGGATTCAACTCGGCTGGGCAGCGTTCGGGAAGCTACGACACATCTTCTCGTCAGACATACCTCAAAACCTTAAAACGAAATTGTACAACCAGTGCGTGTTGCCAGTGATGACTTACGGAACTGAGACGTGGTCCTTCACTGCTGGCCGTATGAGGAAGCTCAAGGTCGCTCAGCGAGCTATGGAGAGGGCTATGCTCGGAGTTTCTCTGCGTGATAAACTTAGGAATGAGGATATCCGCAGTAGAACCAGAGTGACCGACATAGCCCAACGGATTAGTAAGCTGAAGTGGCAGTGGGCCGGTCATATAGCTCGAAGAACCGACAACCGATGGGGAAGAAAGGTTCTCGAGTGGCAGCCTCGTACCGGTAGGCGAAGTGTAGGGCGTCCCCCCACGAGATGGAGTGACGACCTGGTAAGACATGCAGGAAGTCGATGGATGCAGGTGGCTCAGGACCGTGTTTTGTGGCATTCTTTGGGGGAGGCCTATGTTCAGCAGTGGACTTGTGAAGGGCTGTAATGATGATGAATGATGATGATGATGACATCGCGATAAAACTCGCGTTACCATCCATACCATCTGGATGATTGGCGGTCCACCACCCCCCCCGCCTTCTATAAAAAAAGTCGGTTTACTGACGATAGTTGAACGTAACAACGTCATAAGAAAATGTTGCTATAAACAATTGACACCACATTCACTTTTCACTGCACTTCATACTTGACGAAAACATGTAAATGTATTATTGTATAGCAGCTGTCCATGCGGACGCATCGCTCATTCAAGTAGGAGAGAGACAGATGTCGAACGCTGCCGAACGAGGAGGCCGATTGTGCCTCTTTGTCGCTCGTTCCGCGCTCGCACTTACACTTCAAGCCTTAAATGGAACGCCTCAGAGCGAGGTAATGAGTCATGTTTTTTCGTGCGTGCAGCCATCTTCATCGAATTATAAGACGTTGTCACGTCAAAAAATGAAGGGTTGCGTACACACGTTTCGAATAGGGGAACCCCAATTTAATATTTAATTTATTTTTATTATTTGTTGTTATAGCGGCAACAGAAATACACATTCTGTAAAAATTTCAACTGTACCTATTACGGATCATGAGATGCAGCCCGCTGACAGACAGACGGACGGACAGCGGAGGCTTAGTAATAGGGTCCCGCTGGTTACCCTTTGGGTACGGAACCCTAAAAATATGAGTAATGTTTTAATTTGTTTTCAAAGTTGAACCTCAATACACCTATACGTATAACTAGGTTTAACTCTACAGGAGTTCTGTCTAGGAGTCCGTCTGGGTACTACCACCATCCTTTTCAAATTTCTGCTGTAAAATAGCAGTTCGTGCACTGCAGATTCTTGTATGATCGTTATGGAGAGTATACTGGATACACAACAGTGACAACGCATCTGCAGTGTCCTTTGTTTGAAGGTCGCTGCAGATCATATATAAATGGCGGTAAAGCCATCTCGCTTACTTCAGACATAATATACCAAGTCGTTTTGCGCCTGCAAAGGCAGGCGATTTAGACGATATTGCAGCGCATTTAATATGTTTGCGTAGTCACGCGTTTTTTTTATAGGATAGGGTGACAAACGAGCACACAGTCCACATGATGGTAAGTGGTTACTGTGACCCATAGACATCTACATCTATCCTCAATAAAGGCTCAAGATGCAGATGCGTTGTCACCCGTGAGGACTATGATGTAATGCCTCTTTGCCAGTAAAAAGGGTCTCCGGTTCTCAACACTCACCATACGAAACACAGCAGCGTTAAGCTGCTATTTTACGCTGGTTTTCTGTAAGAGCGTGGTCCTTCCCCGGTCGAGCCGACCCATTCGTGCTACAACTATACTATTAATATAGCTGCAGCATGGCTCTACCACGTATAAAAAGCGTTGACAGTTTCCCAATTATACTGCGTAAAAAAACAGACTCACTATTGAGCCGTTTTCGCGGCAGTCGCAACAATGTCCTGCAAGCCATCACCGACAGTGAGGACAGTCGACTAGTAGAGCTGTAGTGACGTGTGAGCCCCCACGACAATAGGTATAATTAGTTAAGTTTAGATTAAAGAGTAGTCTAATAAAGTCATAACAAGAGTGACACGCCTCACTTCTCATTAACACCTTTTTCCTATATTACATGGCGACCCTGCCAGGAGTCAAATAACCCGTGCAAAATTATTTAAGTTTACTAATTTAGTTGATAAGACTTTTAATTTATCAAAAAGGAGGGAGCTTCTCAATTCGAGTGTATGTTTTTTGGGACGGACGTTCCTTATCGGACGGTACGAATTTGGCTGATGGGGGCTAGGCGAGAAAAAGTGTAAGATTTTTCCGTCACGACCTCTTCTGACGAAGTGTAGACGGCCTTGGCGGCTATAAGGAAGCGAGATGGAATAATATCCATATCCCTCGCACTTTTTCTTATCATGCCGTGAAAGAAATATTATTTTATTTTAAATGACGCTTCATTTTAATCGACGCTATAGTAATTAATTTATTTGTATTTGTTAATAAATAATATAATACGTTTATCAATAATAATATACTACGAAATGAACTTCGTTCGAACCGAGTGTTCCAAGACACTCTTTGTATTTTTTTTCTTTTTGTATGTATGTTACGCGATATCTGCTCAGATTGTGAACCGATTTAATGATTCTATTTTTATTAAATAGGTTTTACCTCAAGGGTGGAAAATAGGGGAAACTTTCATAATGGACTATTGTTTAAGGAATTTCATATGATATCCATTCTTTTTTTATTAAATAGGTTATACTTCAAGGGACTACATATAAATTTGGATAAAACATTGTACCCATAAGGGTCGCAAATGAATAACATCGTTTTTAGCAATTTAAAGTCTGTTTTTACTTTTTGTTAAAAGTTATAATTATGTTACTAACGTTTTTGGGTCACTGTTGTCCGATAGATAAATATGATTATCTTTTTATTTATTACGGCGAATCCTGCCAATGGGAGAAGCTTTTACAGGTGAACTTTTACAGGCTGATGGGGAAGAAAATTACTAGACGCTTCTCTAGTAATATAAATATTCACAGTTCTGATACCTACTGAGCGTGGCGGTGAAAGGAAATATTCTCTATTTTGCATTATGAATAAAAATGCAAATGCGTTGTCACCCCTCAGAACTAAAATGGAATGCCGCGTTTCCAGTGAAAAGGGTCTCCGGTTCTCTACACTCACCATGCGAAACGCAGCCTTGAGCTGTTATTTTACGCTGGTATTATGTCAGAGCGTGGTCCTACCCCGATCGAGCCGATCCATCATCAGCGTGGGTCTATTTAAATGAATGACGAAGGAGAGAAAGAATTAGTTTCTGTTGGTACTGAGTAACACGTTTCTCTCGTGTGCAGTGGACGCGATCTGCATCGCGGACCCGGCGTTCGATGCGCGCGAGGTAGACGGCATGTCGCGGCCCGCGCCTGCGCCCGCCCCCGCCCCCGCCCCCGCGCCCGCGCACGCCATGACGCCCGCTGCCGTGCCCGCAGCGGCGCCCTCTGTGCGCATCGTCGAGCAGCCCGCCAGCAAGGCGCTCAGGTAACAAATAATTATCGTTTTTTTTTCTTTGGTAATAGACTTGTACTGTTGTACTTTTGCCACTGTCAAGTTTTAAGAAATTATCATTTATTAACAATTTGTTTAAAAACTTCCTCACAACACGTTGGTGCGTCGTATTGCGGAGTATTTGGTAGATTTTAACGGCAGCTTGAGCCAAGCGCCTAAGCAGACACATTATCTTGAGGTACACATTACCACCGGAGCATTTATTTCATTGTTTCCTTAAGTTTATAGCAATTACATCTTTGCAAGCAATTTATAATGCAGTTTATATTTTATATTAAATGTTTACAAATGGTATAAATATTTTAGTTGAATATATGTCATACCTATATATTTCCATTAGTTAAATTATTGATGTTTAAATGCAGATTATTAAAGTTAAAGCAATGCACTTATTTTGATATAGCATTATTCACTTCGTCACATTTAAATGATAGACGTTTAAGTTTAAAAATCAAGGAAGTATCAGCAAATAATACTATATCTTGATTATCCCCTACAAGGGGAGGTAAGTCATTAATATACACTAAAAATAGGAATGGGCCAAAAATCGAGCCCTGAGGTACACCCGTCTTTACGGACGACCCGGCAGTACTTTTACCATTGATAATAACTTTCTGTATTCTATTACTTAACTATGAAATAATAACTTTAAGCGCTGTGTTCTTGACACTATAGTACTGTAGCTTCCTGATTAATATTTATTTATTTATTATTTATTTATTTACACACACATACAACATACACAATCATTACAGGGTGAGTACCCTAATTCGACAGTGTAGCCAACGATACAATATGATATGCCATTTTACTGAGCTCACTCAGCGAACATGAAAATAAATCAGTTCGCTCCGACATGGTGTTGATCACACGCAGCGCGCGCGTGAACGGTGCTTGCTGCATCAGTGCAGTACGCGCGTGTGGCACTGCCAGTAACGACGGCCGCCGCCGACGCCCCCCGCGCTTCCGTCAGGCGCATTCAGTCGCACCATCTCCAACACTCTCGGGCTGTGTATCCTACCCCTGAATACCTTCAACACGTACACAGCGAGAGTGACTTCTCTTCTGACTTCGAGCTTGAAGTACCCTACCATACCAAGTAAAAAAAGAGTAGGATACAACAAGGGATATCCCGGGTACACTCCGAATTGCTTTAAGTATAAGAATCTAATAAATTTATTTTGGATCCGCTCTAACATATATTTGTATTTGGCTTCATGAGGAGCCCAAATGACGGCGTTACACTCTAAGTGGCTCCTTACGAGTGTATCATATAGCGCTCTCAGAGCCCCGACATTAGTGAAATTATTTGCAAGGCGCATTATCAATCCGAGATTACGGTATGCCTTTATACATACATTATTTACATGTGATCTAAAGTTTAATTCTGCAGTGAAATGTACACCTAGATCTCTAACCTCCGTTACTCTATTAAGCATCTTCCCGTCCATCATGTATGGGTGATGAATTGGGGCGCGTGAGCGGCAAAAGGACAGCACTGAGCATTTAGAGATATTAAAAAAAAGTTTATTATCTATGCTCCATTCTAAAACTTTATCAATATCATGCTGTAAAGAGTCACAATCATATTTATCTCTAATTTTTAAAACTAATTTTAAATCATCAGCAAACAGTAATGAAGTACAAAAATTTACTACATTGGGCAAATCATTTATCATTAAAATAAACAGCAAAGGTCCTAGATTGCTGCCTTGACTAACACCAGATCTAGTAGGGTAGGGTCGAGAAAAGTGCCCATTGCAATCAACAAACTGATGCCGGTCTCGCAGGTAACTGGTGAAAAATGATAGCGTGCGAGGTGTGCAGCCCACACAAGCCAACTTACAAAGTAAAACATCATTGTCGACCGTATCGAAAGCCTTTCTAAAGTCGAAGTAGGCTACGTCTACTTGCAGGCCAGCATCAACCGCGGGTACTAGATGCGTCATCAGCTCCATTAAGTTCCCAGTTGTCCCCCGCCCAGGGCGGAAGCCGTGCTGCGCGTCGGACAACTGTGCACTAATCTGTGGGTACAGGCAGTTGTAAATAGCCGTCTCGAACACTTTCGCTGGAGTGCTTAAGACTGCCACGGGTCTGAAGTCACTTGGTGTCGATCCCCCACTACCTTTCGGTACAGGCACAACTCTAGTGAGTTTCCATTGATCAGGAAACGTAGCGCTTTCAATACAGACATTGAAAATGCGTAACAATGGTTTCACTAGTACTGTCCTACAATCCCTAAATACGAAGGCTGGTATGCCATCTGGTCCTACTGAACGCTTCGAAGGAAGGTGCGCCAGCGCACGCAGAACATCAACTGGTCGCAGAGGTTCGAGCTGAGCCCATGCGCCCGCAGCTGCTCCCGCCGCCGCAGCACCAGCCACCGTCGCGCTTAACAAAGGTGGCTCCTGGCTGTATACTGACTGGAAAAAATTTGCGAATTCTCTAGCACATTCACTATCTGATAAAACCTTTTTATCCTTCAATAGTTTTCTACTTCCCGATGTACCTTTTCGCAATCTTATATACTCCCAAAAGGCTTTAGGCTCCGATGCTAAATGTCCTTGCACACGGTCTCGATATAGGTTATGCGCCTTCTCAGTTTCAGTTTTAACTATAGCCCTATATCACGAGAACTCTTCGTAATCACTGCGCAAATTGCTCGATTTGAATCGCTTGTGAAATTTGTGCTTTAGTTTTATGAACCTAATGATGTCAGCAGTGTACCAAATCGGGTATACGTATCTGCTGATTGTCAGACTACTCATTTTTAGTGGGACACATTTATCAAAGCATTCGTAAATTTTATTGTAAAATAAATGTAATAATTCGTCCAAGTTATCCGAGGTGTTCATTTCACTCCAGTCTATCATAGTCAACAAGTGATACAATTGGTTAAAATCAGCTTTACTAAAATTCCATCGCTTACTATTTATCGAGGCTTGAGAGCGTATTGGTATGTGTGACAAGCCGGGAACAGGAGACGCGGGTGCGGGGGCCGTCGGTTGCGGTGGGGCACGCAATATCTCATGGTGAACACAGTTGAAGGCCCTGGAAAGGTCACAAAACACACCCAAAGCATCCTCTGAATTCTCCAATGCACAAAAAATATGTTTTATAAGTTCGACTCCGGCGTCGGTAGTCGAGCGACCCCTTGTAAAACCAAATTGATTTTAATTTAATAATATAGTTATAATAATAAATTTATTAACTTTGTGTACATGCAGGGTATCTTAAACTATTACAGTACTCGTTTTTATTTTTTGGCAACTTACTAGTAAGATATGGTTGATCGTTAGCAGCTGTACTATTTTTATGGTAAAAACTGTATTACAAACGCTAGCGCCTTCCACCGGGCATTATAGGAAACAATTAGAGAAATGCCCTGTTTAGTACTACATAATATTGAAACCGCTACATGTGGAGACTACTTAAGACCAACTATGAAACTGAGGGATGGAATTGCGAGTGTTCACGTAGAAGTTAGTAAATGTGTGTGCGTATATGTGTTGTGTGTGTGTGTGTGTGTGTGTGTGTGTGTGTGTGTGTGTGTGTGTGTGTGTGTGCGTGTGTGTGTGCGTGTGTGCGTATGTGCGTGCGTGCGTGCGTGCGTGCGTGCATGCGTGCGTACGTGCGTGCGTGCGAGCGTGCGGGCGTGCAGACGTGCGGGTGCGGGTGTGTGGGTGCGTGCGCGTGCGGGTGCGGGTGTGCGCGTGCGGGTGCGGGTGTGTGCGTGCGGGTGCGGGTGCGGGTGCGGGTGTGGGTGTGTGTGTGCGGGCGGGTGCGGGTGCGGGTGCGGGTGCGGGTGCGGTTGTGGTTGCGGGTGCGGATGCGGGTGCGGGTGTGCGTGCGGGTGCGGGTGCGGGTGTGTGTGTGTGCGTGCGGGTGCCGGTGCGGGTGTGTGTATGCGTGCGTGTGCGGGTGCGGGTGTGTGCGTGCGTGCGCGGGTGCGGGTGTGTGCGTGCGTGCGTGCGTGCGTGCGTGCGTGCGTGCGGGCGTGCGGGTGCGGGTGTGTGTGTGCGTGCGGGTGCAGGTGCAGGTGCGGGTGTGTGTGTGCGTGCGGATGCGGGTGTGTGTGCGTGTGCGTGCGGGTGCGGGTGCGGGTGTGCGTGTGTGTTTGCGTGTGCGTGTGCGTGTGCGTGTGCGGGTGTGTGTATATGCGGGTGTGTGTGCGTGTGCGGGTGCGGGTGTGTGCGTGCGTGCGCGGGTGCGGGTGTGTGCGTGCGTGCGTGCGTGCGTGCGGGCGTGCGGGTGCGGGTGTGTGTGTGCGTGCGGGTGCAGGTGCAGGTGCGGGTGTGTGTGTGCGTGCGGATGCGGGTGTGTGTGCGTGTGCGTGCGGGTGCGGGTGCGGGTGCGGGTGTGGGTGTGCGTGTGTGTGTGCGTGTGCGTGTGCGTGTGCGGGTGTGTGTGTATGCGGGTGTGTGTGTGTGTGTGTGTGTGTGTGTGCGCGTGCGTGCGGGTTCGGGTGTGTGTCTGTCTGTCAGAGAGAGAGAGAGAGAGAGAGAGTATTAATGTGTGCATAAGCCCAGCCCTATTTTAAACATCTTCGGATTGGTTGTGCCAAAGACAGCAATCCTCACTAAGTGTGTGATGAGTACGACTTTATCATAAGATGTGGTTTAGTTAGCTGTATAGGGGGATCGTAAAAGCGCCTCTGTATCCTCGTATGAAAGCCTCTGCAGACACTACTTCAGTTCCTGTTTACCTTTTCTTGCGGGTAGCTTTATAGATATTTAGTTCTTTATTAATCCTATTGTACACATGACTACTTCGGACATAGTATTGTCTACGAGCTAAAGTAATTCTGTGGGGGACGTGCTCACATACCCGGTAATCCAGTCTTTGACTTTCTGTGCGCGATTTTCATGAAGCAATTTATTTATATTAAAAAAAAACTTAACATTTGATCTAGAATAATTTTTTCAAAAATTTTACTTATTGTTGGTAGTGCAGAAAATGGTCTAAAATTTGGGGTTCTAATGTACTACCAGATTTAAATAAAGGATGACTTTACTGTTTCATTAGATCAGGAAACACAGTAGATTCGACGCTTGCATTAAAAATGGTGGCTAGATAAAGTGCTACAGTATCATAGATGCAATAACTTTAACGGAAATCCCCCATAGGTCTGCCGTTTTCTTAACATCAATAGTTTTAAAATATGTAACGATATGTTTTGGCAATACTGTCTGGAATTTTACGTTTAAACAAGGTTTTACGTTTTGTTTAAGCAATGATTCGGCCACAGTAGGAGAAGGATTTAATGATTTTGTTGTCAAAAAAGGAACATCAGTAAAATGTTTCTCAAAAGCCATAGCAACTTCTTGATCAGATTGAGTTAAATTATTATTAATTTTCAATTAAAATCCGAGTTCCGTGGTTTGACCTTGCCCCTTTCGCTATTAATTATACTCCATGTCATTTTAATTGTATCGGATGCGGTGTTCCACGACACTCACAAATGTTTTTATTTTTATAGAATAAGGTCGACAAACGAGTACACAGTCCACTTGATATTAAGTGGATGCTGTAGCCCACAGAATATACTTATCCTCGATAAATAATCAATATGCAGACTTTTTAACAGAAGTAAGAGTGACTACTTTCATCGTGTATCCGCTTGCTGTGGAAAATTTTCACCCTATGAGGCTATGTATAGGGGAGATCTATGCTATGCAATGGATTTTTGATAGTCTGTGACGGTATAGTTATTCAATTTACGATGAAGGTTTCGCCTTGATTGTAGTAGTGACGTGTACCGACAGGCGCGTTTGTGTGTGTAACTGCGATTCGTTCGACTCGCGATCGTGTCTGAGCGTTCCTGAGTAGATCTCAGGAACGTTCACCTCACACTAACACTATGTGTATGTGCACGGCTAACAACAACTAAGTACTTAGATGAAATGCCTCTTTACCAGTAAAAGGGGTCTACGTTTGCCGTAACACTCCATATGAAGCACAATGCCTTTTGTTGCTATTCTGTGAGTGCATCGTTTGACGCCCTTTCTTGTATATAAAGAAATAATCTCGCAACGTAGCGAATAGACCTACAACTCCTTAGCCTATCATTTCAAAAGATAATGAAGTCTTTAAAACACCTAAACATCTCACCAAAAACGTTGACCCTGCAGGCAGGCCATCCTTGGAAGTTCCCACAACGTTCGAATCTCGAATAACGCTCAAATGGTAACGCTTGAACACAAACACACTAACACACACACACACTAACACACACACACACACACACACACACACACACACACACACACACACACACACACACACACACACACAAAGACACACACACCCGCGCGCGCGCCCGGATCCAGCCGGGAATAGTCGGAACGTCTTCCTAGGACCTCGAAACGTGGAGATCTGATGAAAACTCGCATTCTCAAAGTCGGACCGAAATCTATAATTTCCTACTGTAGAAAATTATTAATTTTCAAAGAGGGAAATTAAAAAAAATCCACGGCTTTAATATCGAAACTGCAACGCCGATAGCTGTGTCACGCTGTCGCTTCGTTTGTTAATTGTTTGTCGTATTAGGTACTAACATAAATATCAAGGTTTTACTGTTTGTAACAATGGCGACTATGGCGTACATCATTATTTCGTCATAATTACAGCCCCTTCGATCTATTGCTATAGGAAAATTACCACCGAGGATAGTCACTTTGGAGGAGAGTTTCATTATTTATTCTTCATCAGCATCAAAAAGTCTACTGTTGGACATGGGCATAAAGACAACATGGTTCTCAGGGTTGACGACGTATTTTCATTTTGATTTCTTAACCGAGGGTAGATGTAAAGGTCGGAGCCACAGCAACCACTTACCATCAGGTGAACTATTTGCTCGTTTGTCACCCTTATTCTATAAAAAAACGGGCCTCTCCCGTTGTAGGAAGGAATTGCCTTAATCTTCACGCTTGGCAGGTGAATTAACAATTTTAGTACCAGACGTATCGCTTAGTCGGTTTTTAGTGTTCCGTTCCCAAAGGGTAACCAACGGGACCCTATTACTAATCCTCCGCTGTCTGTCCGTCTGTCCTTCCGTCCGTCTGTCTTTTATTTCTTTATTTTTTCTTTATTTCCCCATTTAAAAAATGTTACAGGATTTTCTCCTGTATCGTGTAGGCAGTTTACAAACATAGATTGCACAAGGACAAACATCCATACCCGAAACAATTATTTGTAGACCATACAAATACTACTACTACTTGTTCCGTGCGGGATTCGAACCCGCGGCCCCCAGCGCAACAACTCATTGCTAAGTCACTTCGCCACGGAAACTTCAGCCTCTGGGAACTGTCCGTCCGTCCGTCCGTCAGTATTTCTGTAGCTGCTATAACAACAAATGATAAAAATTAAACCTACTAGAAACTTGTTTTACGATGATACGCAGGTTATTTTTTTTTAATAATCATATTATTGCTGTTTCTCTGCACGGTTAGGAATTACAGTAGTAGGAGTCGATGGCTGTGTATTTTTTAAAGATCCAAACCCATAATCCATTTTGGCAGATCTACACTCTCGGTTTCGCTAAATAGGTCGCCCATTACTGGCGCTTATATTTAGAAATTAGGATCACAGCAAACTAGATGTTTGGTGTTACTTAGATGAAAAAATTCCCGGCGATCGGAATTTACGTGTGTCAAGATAACACAATTACTATTCCAATACTATTTGGAATATGTATTCACAGCCTGTACAACTACTTTAGCAAACCAGTGTTACGTTTATTTGTTTAAAAATTTGTTGCAATTTAAAGGATTTATTATTGTTATAAAGACGCAGAGATAGAGTAAGTGAAACTTACATTAGAATTTAGAATAAAGCATTCTTACATGCATAGATTTTTTACATTATACATCAATGCAATGCAATTTTTTTCACACCCAATGCAAAAAGAGGGGTGTTATAAGTTTGGCCGCTATGTTTGTCTGTCTGTCTGTGGCACCGTAGTTGTTAAACGGCTGAACCGTTTTGGGTGCGGATTTTTTATTATTTAAAAGCAGGTTGTCTAGCGGTGGTTCTTAGACATGTCTTTAACAAAATCGGTTCAGCCGTTGGAAGATGATCAGCTCGTTTTGTTTCGGGAGTTTCAATGTTTTCAATTTGAGTTATGTAGGTCATATATCCATTAAAAGTGTCAGACCGTAAAAATGTTATTTGAACATGATTACATGTTATATTTGTGTCATGCGATGATGCGGATAAGTTAATTTATGAGAATATATTTTAACGAAATTAACCCTAATTAGATGGATTATTCATTTAATATAAGAAACAGAAAATATTTGTTAATGTATCTATTAGCACATTACACCTGAGATACAGGTTTATCCAGTGTTTGAATTAATTATAGAGATTCACAAACGACGATAAATGTAGATGTCTATGGGCCACAGCAACCACTTACCATCAGGTCGACTGTGTGCTTGTTTGTAACCCTATCCTATAAAAAAAAAATTATGTTTCAAAAGTGAACGGCAGTCGGGAAGGGACGCCCTAGACGAAGATTTATCGACCAAATCGGCGATACATTGAAAATGGGCCAGATTAATAGTACCCTTAACCGACGAGCGTGTATGTGTAGATATATGGATGTAAAGGAGGCGAGAGAAGTGTGTCAGGATCGCGCCAAATGGAAGTCCGTAGTCTCTGCCTACCCCTCTGGGTGACAGGCGTGAGTGTTTGTGTGTGTGTGTATAAAAAAAGTTTACAAGTGAGTTTCTTTAGTCTCAGTCTAAGTTTTAATTTTAAAACGTTACCATAGACTAGTATTGTTGTTATTTACTATATTTATAGAAAAAGGCACTTTTTATTGCCATTCACCGAAGCCAACGCAGAAATATTAACCATAGATTTTGTTCACTGTTAGGATTCTGAACTGATAATAGACTCAAAATTGCATTGTACAGTGCACCTATAATATAATAAATCAATTTCGTTCAGGTTCCGTTATGAATGCGAAGGGCGGTCGGCGGGTTCGATACCCGGCGTGAACACCACCAGCGAGAGGAAGACCTACCCCACCATCGAGATCAGCGGCTGCACCGGCAGCGCGATCGTCGTGGTATCCTGCGTCACCAGGGATCACCCGTACAGGTCAGTTATGTCTACTGTATTTGGAGCTAGCTAGAAATGCCTAAATTTGCTAGTCACCTTAATTTTTTTTATAGAATAAACGAGCACACAGTCCACCTGATGGTAAGTGGCTCACAGACATCAACATGGATCCTCGATTAAGAATCAAAATGCAGATACATTGTGCCACCCCTGAGGACTAAGATGGAATGCTTCATTTCCAGTAAATAGGGTCTCCGGTTTCTCTACACCCACCATACGAAACACAGCAGCATTGAGCTGCTATTTTACGCTGGTATTCTGTAAGAGCGTGGTGCTTTCCCTGCCGTGCTGACTCATAGGTGCTGCAACCATTATATAGCTGCGACATGGCTCTACCACATTTATAATGAGAATGTTTCCTCTACATTAGCTCATAAGAGTTCATTGCTGAACATGAGCCACTACCATTGTAGATAGGATTTGCCTTAATCGTCACGCTCAGAGTACCACGCATCTCGCACCTATAACACTGCTCCCCACCGCTGGTCTGGGTATTCTACGTTCGACCTAAGCTAGATTTTTTTATACGATAAGGGTGACAAACGAGCACACAGTCCACCTGATGGTAAGTGGTTGCTGCGGCCCATATACATCTACATCAAACAAAATGCAGTTGTGTTGTCACCCGTGAGGAGACAATCGTAGACGTAAGATGGAATGCCTCGTTTCCAGTAAAAAGGGCCTTCGGTTTTCTACACTCATCATACGAAACACAGCAGCGTTAAGCTGCTATTTTACGCTGGTATTCTGTGAGAGCCTGGGCCTTCCCCGGTCGAGCCGACCCATTCCAGTTACAACTATGCTACTAATATGGCTGCAGCATAGCTCTACTAGATAGTTATACAGTGGCATGTATCGAAAGCCTTTGACGGTTGCCATTGACAAAATAGAGGCCCAAACAATCGAAAATGTACTGAAAAATTGGCCTGATCCAATGGGGTATTATAAGGCTAACCGTGACAGTAATTTGAATGATGTTGTCTTCCATTCCTAAATGGAAAGAACTGAAAAAATATTCATTAGTTCTTTTTTATAGCCGATACCTGCTCAAAACCAAAGCATTAACTGCTAACATTTCTATCGTACCTACGGGTCAAATATATAATAATGAGGGATTTCTTCCTGAGGTTAGTTATGTTTAGGTACTGTCCACCTAATCATAATTAATTACCTCAGCCGTAGTAGCTCAGATGGTTAGCGCTCGCTGTAATTACCTCTATTAAACACTAAATATCACTTTAAAACTTGAGACTTTGCAAATAAAGCCTGGATTTTTAGCGCGTACGTGAATGGTCTCGCCTATCTTTCTCGCTCTAACATACGCGTACTCTATGCTCTTCCTCTTTCGAATTGCCAATCTATTCTAACGTTAGTTTATACTACATCTATGTTTAAAATAAACTTCATATCACGTTGGCAAGTGCGCATATAAATAATGACAGAATTTGTTAGTCACATTTAACAAAATCAGTCTTAAATTGTCGAAAATAACGTACGCGTTTTACAAAACAAAGAACTAGTCTGCTCGGCCGCTCGCAGCCGACTAAGTTACAAAAACTGAGCGTAACTTAGCGCGCAATGTATTAATGCCTTAGTCTCCGCCTAGTAGTAGTATACATGGAAGTGGTTGACTGCCTCGTTAGTCTAGTGGTTGTAAATGTGACTGCTAATCATAAAGTCACGGGTTCGAATCCCGGGTCAGAGCAACAAAAATCAGTTATTACCACTGTGTCTCAACAAGCACGCAAAGCCGTTAATACTGCGTCTGATCTTGCTCCGATCGTGTCGGACTGGCCGTCATCGTCATCATTACAGTCCTTCACAAATTCACTGTTGAACATAGGCATCCCCCAAGGAATGCCACAAAGCACGGTCATCGGCTACCTACGTCCATGTTTGATCAGGTCGTCACTCCATCTACACTTCACCTACCAGTACGAAGCTGCTACTCGAGAACTTTACTTACTCATCGGTTGTCGGTTTCTCGAGCTTAATTGCCACTTCAGCTTAGTAATCCGTTGGGCTATATCGGTTACTCAGGTTCTACTGCGGATATCCTTATTTATAAGTCAATCACGCAGAGAATCCCCGAGCATAGCTCTCTATAGCTCGCTGAGCAACCTTGAGCTTCATCATACGGCTAAGACTGGCCGCCGTGACGTGTTCTTTTACGAGGATTTGTGGTCTATCAAATCTGATATGATAGTTGGGTGGGACGATCCTGAACATGTTGACATACTATAGACTTCCTAGAGCGTCGGTGCTTCACATCAGCGATATGTACTTTTACGCGGGTTTTATGCATCTTTTCGTTTGTCCTATGTAAGGGGGAGACCACATTCATAAAATCAGTTTTAGTGTAGTCACGGAATAAAATAATAGTACAAGAACAGAAGAATCATTCTCTGATAGTAAACTTGCGAGTTTAAACCTAGTTACAACGTCGCTAACGTTCATAATACTTTGCTAACCTCGAAAGTGAGCTTCGTTAAAATAGCCTACCGATTAAAACGTCGAAAAAAATTAATGCGGCGCACCTATTAAATCAAAATGCACCTTTTTATATATACCAGAGTCTGTATCACTTAGCCTGTTATGTGCCTTTGATAAGGCCGCTCCTACTGTAGGGTTAGGTGTTGTGAGAAAACTCAAAGGGCATTTATAAGCATAGCTTGCTTATTATAAATACTCTAAGGGTCTTATTATATTAGTAATTTGCCGATAATAAGAACATTATTGTTCAATGTGAGCAAGCAAACTAAACAAACTATGAACCAGTATGTGTTGATCTTGCATTAGTAGGCAGTCACTAGTACTATGAGGTCACTTACAATGTACTTTTTTTAAGGATTGAGTGGCCATACTTAAGTAAAAACTCGAAAATAAATATCAAAAGTGCCTAAATACTTAATAAGAGAAAAATACTTTTTCGTTAACGAACGGTGGGCGTCAACTCGAGCGCGCGCGTGACAACCTCACTGAATTAGCCTCTTGTAAGCGGCCGCGCAGCGTAGGTATATTTTCATGCCTAAAGCGCGGAGTGAGACATGCATGGTGTAGTTGTGTAGTATTTACGTAAATTTAAGAATTCATTATGGAGGACATTATTATTAGAAGTGTTTGTGTGGCATGTGGCAGGCCGCACCCACACAACCTGGTGGGGCGCGAGCGATGCGACAAGGGCGTGTGCACGATGAAGGCGGAGCTGACGGGCGACAGCACGCTGGTGGCCTTCAGCAACCTGGGCATCCAGTGCGTCAAGCGCAAGGACATCGACTCCGCGCTGCGCACCCGCGAGGAGCTGCGCGTCGACCCCTTCAAGAGTCAGTATCTACCCACGCACTCACCCACTCACTCTTAGTCTCTAACTCAATAGAATAAAATTATTTTTATTCAATATAGATACTTGCTCGCTTGCTCGCTCACCCACTCACGTACTCGCTCTCTATCTCACTCACTAGAATAGAATAATATTTTTTATCCAATACAGGTACTTATTCACTCATTTACCCGCTCACTCACTCACTCCCTAGAATGAAATAGAATCACTTTATACAATATAGATACTCATTCACTCACTCACTCACTCGCTCGCTCTCTCTATCACTCACTCACTAGAATAGAATAGCATCATTTTTATCCAATATAAAAATACGAATAACGGATATTCTTTCACTCGCTCACTAGATTTTTTCTAAAGAATAAAGGTCACAAACAAGCACACCGTCTATCTTCAGCTGGTAAGTGGATGCTATGGCCCATAAACATCTACATGTGGCTTCCATTGAGAATCAAAATGCAGATGCGTTGTCACCCCTGAGGACTAAGGTTCGTAGGTTTCTTTTCCAGTTAGAAAGGTCTCCGGTACTTCATTAAGCTTTTACTTTACGCTGGTATTCTGTGAGAGCGTGGTTCTACCCCGGTCGAGCCGACCTATTCGTACTACAACTATAATTTAGCTGCTAACAGTTCTAAACTGCTAAACTGTCTATACTCGTGGACAAATTTAGAGGAATGCAAAATAAAAATGTGTGTATGTTTAAAACAAAATATGAATATTTGTGACAATTATGCTTATGTATTTGGATTTTGGTTATGTTTCGTTAATTTAAAATTGCAATTGTCGAAAAAACAAACGTTTAAATGAGGAAATATTTAATTATTTAAATATTTATATATAGATTAAGAAAAAAAAAAGAAAAATTTTACAGGAAAGAAACATTTGTGTAATGTTCTCAGGTGAAGTAGACTGCGGAGGCTGGCCGCTAAGAAAGGAAAAAAATTGTTATGGAAGGAGAAAAGTCTTATTATTTATGCCGATTCTCTCGATTTCCAAACGTAAAATTATCACATGAGTTTTACGTATATATTCATATAACGAAGCGAGTTATCCCGATCGGTGGCCCACAAACGGGCTATCGGCGGCTCCTCTGCGCGCAACAATACGTCTATTTCTGGTGCCGACTATTTCCGTGCGGAGTTGCTACGAGCGGTGTCTGTCAGTTAGAAGTTGTTCCAAATTTTGCTGCTTACAAAATATATTTAAGGATGCGTTATATTTTGTTGACCGTATAGGGGCGGTGTAAGGTATGCACTACCTTATATCACCTCGTGGGTGTCGTAAGAGACGATAGGGGGAAGAAACCAGGAAATAGCAACAGCGATTTCTTAATAACAACCATATTAAATTAATAAAAACTGTGGTTTCGAAGCCGCTTGATATTTATAGGTAGGCCTATGTTCCTGGACCTACCTATTTGTATATCAACAGTTCAATGAGGCACCCTTAAATGCCTAGATTCCCAAACTTCATGAATAAATCTATATAAAGTTCTTCAGTTATTATGGTCTGAAAAGATAATTAACATTTTTGTTTTTCACTGCCTGACTCATTCAAAATATAAAATATATTAAATCCCCCCACCCCCTCTAATGAGGCATTATACGGGAGATAATACACTGCTCGTGTTGGTGTAAACATATAGTATCTCATTGCTTCTTAGTTGAATTATTATGTCAAATTATTTTTTATTACATTTTGATCTGGTAACCCTTACCAGTATCACTGAAGCTATATACATATATTTATACGCGTATTATGAAACGAAGCTATTCTACTATTAAAAAATCATAACTATAGAATGACGTGTTACGGTGAAAAAGAACGGGACGACCCTGAAGTTGCCAGTCATATTTATGTCTATTGAGTTAGAAATAGGGGAGGCGATGTCAAACTTACTTTCAGACTTGTAGACGGCAATTACGTCATTCAGTCTCGGTTATGAGAGATGAATGTATTTATAAAACATTACATCGCAAATTCCATTTGCCGGTTGCTACAAATGAAATAATTAACCATGAAATAAAATTTTAACATGTGGTATGTTCATGTTCTTATATTGTCATCTGATTCTGAGCTGTATTCAAAATTTCAAGTCTAGTTTAAAACCAACTAAATTTGACCCGAACAAGACATCACGAAATCACGAAAGCGACTTAATAAAAATACGGTGATAAAATAATACATTAAATATTATTGTTAATTTAAAAAAAGCTTCCGTTTTAAAATTAATGACAAATTTAAAATTTTAAAAGTTAAAAGCCTAAAGCGTCTTTCATTCTGTAACAAATATTTTTATTGCTATCATCACTGTCGCAAAAAAAAAATATAACTTTCAGAATAATATTGTAAGGAAACTTCGGCAATATATAATGAGATAGAAGAAATTAATGTATCTTAATGAACTCTTTTCTAAAAAGTAGATTCTTTCTATATTCGACGCGTATCTTTTTTTGTACGTTTATCAATTACTATGAAACGGTTGAACCGATTTTAATGTATTTGCTTGAGGCTCTTTCCCGTGTGTTTTCTTTTGATTTCCTACAAATTTCACTATACCAGTCCCTTTTTTTATTATGTTTTATTCTAATGGAACCGATGCTTACACATAATAAATAATATTGCACCATCAGAGAAGTGTTTTCTGCTTATTTATATATTGAATGGTAGAGAACGCCTTAAGGCGGACGCTAAGTCCGCAAGTGTACATTTTTGTGCAAGAAAGTTTAAATAAGTAAACGAATAATATACTTTCGGCATTTTCAGCAGCGCGGACATGGTCCTAAATGACTTTTCGTAATTTGTGTAAATGTTATATACAATTTTAATATTTTAGACTAACCTATTTTTTACACACTATGAAATGTATTTTGCTGTTCTATAAATATTATGAAAACTTTACGTGTTAGAGCCATACTGTAGTTATGTTATAATTAGCACGAACGGGTCGGCTCGACCGGGGAAGGATCACGCTCTCACAGAATGTCAACGAAAAATGGCAAGTCTAGTTTCAGAAATGTCTCGTTTACAGTAACAAGGGTCTCCGATTCTCTACACTCACCATAAGAAATAGCCGAATTGAGGTGCCATTTCATTCTGGTATTCTGGTAGTCCTACCCTGGTTGAGAGACACTCATTCGTGCTACAGCTATAATATAGCTGTAGCGTGCCTCTATCACGTGGTCGTTTGTCCCGTTGTATTAAAAGTGCGCGTGTGTGCAGCCGGGTTCGGGCACCGCAGCCAGCCGCAGAGCATCGACCTGAACGCGGTGCGGCTGTGCTTCCAAGTGTTCCTGACGGGCAAGGGCGGCAAGGTGCGGCTGGCGCTGCCGCCCGTCGTGTCCGACGTGATCTACGACAAGAAGGCCATGAGCGACCTGCACATCGCGCGCATCTCGCACTGCGCCGGGCCCCTGCGCGGCCGCATGACCATGATCCTGCTCTGCGAGAAGGTGCGCACTCGCACACGCACACATACACGTACACACACGCACGCACACGCACACATACGTGCGAACACGCACACGCACATACGTAAACACGTACACACACGCACACATATACACAACCACACACAGGCGCGTGTGCACGCACCTACGTACGCACGCACGCACACGTACACACTTATACGTGCTACTGCTAACCATGTAGTGGGGGTTTAAGAATATTCACCGCCCCATATCATCTTATGGGTGCCGTAAGAGGCGACAGAGGGAAACAAATCAGGAGATGGACAACAGCAGCTTTCTAATAACCACAAAAAAAACTGTGGTTAGCAATATGCTTGCCAAACATGGTAACTATAGCAAATAGGAGGGATCCATTTAAGGCAATCTATGAGAAGGCCTATGTTCAGCAGTCGACTTTAATAGGCTCTAACGGTAACGGTTGTAAAGGTACAAAGTGATGAATGGTTGGTATGCAGGTGACTCGTGAAGACACGGCCGTGGTGTTCTTCGAGAAGGAGAACGAGCAAGTGATCTGGGAGGCGGCCGCCATCAACGTGCACGTGCACAAGCAGGTGGCCATCGCCTTCGAGACGCCGCCCTACCGCAACCCCGACGCCACCAAGAACGTCAAGGTACCGCCGTCACCATCGTTACACCTGCACTAGCCACCAGTACTATTCAATAAAATTGAATAAATTTTTATTTATTGTATATTACATGTAATTCTTATTGAAAATCAGTTTATTATTACTACGTTTTAATTAAATCACTTTCTTGTTTGTCTGTCTGTCTATCATTTTGGACACAAAATAAATAATAGTACTACGTTCTGGGTGGAATCTTGCAACTCAAATTTCAAGCCTTTCCCAATGAGCTAGACACAGAAAAATAGTTGACAAAAATTATTGCATCTAGAAATAAGTTATATATAAAATGAGTTTTATTATTTTTCTATGATTTTTCAAATAAAAATGTATTTTAATTAAAGCCACAGAAAAAAACAAACATTTTTGGGAATATCAAATGACTTAAATAATTTTACTCTATTCAAGTGTTGTCATTATAGTAATATTCATACTATTTTCGTATACACTTTGTAAGACTACCAACATAGCCACAAACACAAAATATTTTTATATTAAGTTATTATTAGTAATAACTATACCATCAGTAATAATAATAAAAAAGTGATATGGTTGAAAAGAAGTCTCTTACAAAGAACTTCCTACAATAATACATTATCTCAATCATAGTAATGTGTAACAATTCCATTTAATGTTATGGCAACATTAGCTAAAACAAAATGTCAATGTTTTTTGTTTCTGGCTTAACGGCTTTGGGTTCTAGCCCTTCTGAGAATGTCACTGTATGACACAAAGGCCCTGGAGCCATGCTAGAAATATACATTTATAGTCTGCAAATATATAATAGACACGCTATCCGTGAATTTCTGCAACATCAGGGGACTTCACTCGAACCTAAACGCCGTCCACTACCATCTTGAGACGGCGAAGCCGGCCTTGCTCTTTCTGACCGAGACGCAGGTGTCCTCTCCGGCTGATACTTCGTATCTCTCCTGCCCGGGGTACAAATTGGAGCACTCCTTTGTGCCTCGGGCTGGAGTTTGCGTGTATGTCAGAGAGGACATCTGTTCTCGACGCCTCGGCAGTCTTGAAGGTTCGGACCTGTCCATCCTTTGGCTACGCGTAGACAGCGACGACCATCCGCGCGTCTACGTGTGCCTCTATAGGTCCCATAGCGGTAATGCCGAAACAGACCGACTCATCGACCACGTCCAAATGGCTACAGATTCCTTGCTACAACAGGTCCCATCCGCAGAGATCGTGATCCTTGGCGATTTTAACGCCCACCACGCCGAATGGCTCGGTTCACGTTTAACCGATCATGCGGGCAGATCTGTTTATGACTTTGCCTTGGCATATGGTCTGACACAACTGGTTACATCGCCTACGCGGATTCCAGATGTTGAGGATCATACACCTTCCCTGTTGGACCTTCTGCTGACCTCTCATCCGGACGGATATCAGGTTTCCGTCGATGCCCCTCTTGGCTCTTCGGACCATTGTCTGATCGGGAGTGTGGTGCCACTCACGCTCCCCTCGCGGTTGCGTTCTGCAGGTTGCCGCCGTGTTTGGCATTACAGGTCGGCGGATTGGGACGGAATGCGGTCTTTCTTTGCTTCTTACTCATGGGGGCGGGTTTGCTTCTCGCCGGATGATCCCAGCGCTGTTGCTGACTCTGTCACTGATGTAGTGCTACAGGGAATGGAACTATTTATTCCATCATCTGTGGTACCCATCGGAGGCAGATCTCAGCCTTGGTTTGGTCGCTCCTGTAAGACTGCATTACGCAGTAAGCAGGAGTGTTATCAAGCCTGGGCTGCGGCTTCGGTGACTCGGGATGTAAACACCAGCACACTCAAAAAGAAGTATAACTTCGCCTCCAGGTCCTTCAAAAGAGTTATTGCCAAGGCAAAGTCAGAGCACATAGGCAGAATTGGCGAGAAACTAGTTCGTCTTCCTTCGGGAACCCGTGCATTCTGGTCTCTCGCCAAGGCTGTCCAAGGGAATTTCTGTAAGCCATCACTACCATCTCTGCACAGGGAGGACGACTCACTGGCCCACGACGCAAAAGAGAAGGCCGACCTTTTAGGCTCCTTTTTTGCGTCCAACTCAACTGTTGATGACGGGGGGAACACACCGCCAACCATCCCGCGGTGTGAGTGCTCTATGCCGGATGTGCGGTTCTCACAGCGCTCGGTTCGCAGAGCACTCCTCTCCCTTGACATCCACAAGTCGAGTGGGCCTGACGGAATCCCCCCAATTGTGCTGAGGACGTGTGTTCCGGAGTTGGCACCGGTTCTAACGCGTCTTTTCCGGTACTCCTACTCCCTAGGCGTAGTCCCGAAATCATGGAAGACAGCTTTTGTCCACCCGATCCCTAAAAAAGGCGACCGCTCAGATCCGTCCAACTACAGGCCTATCGCCATCACCCCCTTGTTCTCCAAAATAATGGAATCCGTTGTAAACTGCCACCTCATGCGGTACCTTGAGAATCACCAGCTGATTAGTGAGAGTCGTTGCTGGACAAAGTCTCGGATTGGGGGCGACTAAATCTAGTCCAGTTTAATCCTCAGAAGACACAAGTTTGCGCGTTTACCGCTAAAAAAAACCCCTTTGTCGTATCTCCTCAGTTTCAAGGTACTCCCCTTGTTGCCTCAGCCAGTATCGGAATCCTCGGCGTCGACATATCAAGTAGCGTGCAGTTTCGTGGTCACTTGGAAGAGAAGGCCAAATTGGCCTCTAAAAAGCTTGGCGTGCTCAGCAGAGCGGGACAGTATTTCATGCCGGCTCAACGCCTGCAACTTTACAAGGCGCAGGTTCGGCCTCACATGGAATACTGTTCCCATCTCTGGGCTGGGGCTCCCCAGTGCCAGCTTCTTCCACTTGACCGCATCCAGCGCAGAGCGGCTCGAATCGTCGACGACCGAGTCCTTTCCGATCGGCTCGACTCATTGGCACTGCGAAGAAATGTTGCATCTCTTAGCATTTTCTTTCGCATTTACCATGGGGAGTGCTCTGAGGAATTGTTCGGATTAATCCCAGCCGCCAAATTTCACGAACGCACATCGCGGCAGAACTCCCGATACCATCCACACCACATCATCTGGATGATTGGCGGTCCACCACTGTGCGATTTAGAAGATGTTTTCTTCCACGCACAACTTCCTTATGGAATAGTTTACCACCAGGGATTTTTCCGGACCGATACGACTTAGGGACCTTCAAGAAAAGAGCCTACTCCTTTTTAAAAGGCTGGCAACGCATCTGCAATTCCCCTGGTGTTGCGGTTGTTCATGGGCGGCGGTGGTCACTTACCATCAGGTGAGCCGCATGCTCGTTTGCCCCCTCTCCTATAAAAAAAAAGACATAACCTAATAAGTTTCAAATCTAAATATCTTTTTTTTTACGCCTTCTCAGGACAAAATTCTTTGACAGAGTTATTAAGGGCGTGACGCTTAACATTTTAAGATACTTTTGATATATAGACGCTACCATTCATTCTCAACTAATTTTATGTATGAAAGTCTGCCATTGTTCTTTTAAACATAGCGCAGAATCAATGTAGAAATATGAAAAATAACGTGATATGTTAAATTATTCATTACAAAATTAAAAAAAAAACGCTTGTTTTACTTTACCAATGGTTCGGAAAAAAATCTCTGTCCTGGGAAGAACCAGCAAGAAACCAGCGAAACTTTATTTTTCAAAGTAAATAAGAAGATAGTACAAACTATTTAGATAATTTATTTTAGGAATTACTTGGACGCGACCACCTCATACACAGTTTTTTTTTTAAATTAAATATTTAAAATTGATAATAGAGACCTTGTTTATTTTCTGGAATTTTGTTGTAATAGCGTATACATTGCCACATGAATAAATTACTGATTCTATGGAGTCGAGAAAATGGTATCACTAGCTTGTGTTTGTTCCTAGTGTTTACAGAGTAATTTTTTTTTTACTAAAACTATTTTTGTTAATTATTATTTCGGTATTAGGCCACACACCGTAATAACCACTATCTATTTTGCTCACCCTCTTAGTCAGAACGCAATGCGACACGACCGGAGAGAGATCAGGTGTAGGACCATCAGCTTTGCGTACTTTTCGAGGCTCAGGGATGAAACACCGCTAACTTCCTGACTCCGGGCTGTTACTGAAAATTTCTTGACAGAAATACAAAATAACAGATTTTTGGCTCGACCTGGGATTCGAGCTCGGGACCTCATGGTCAGCAATCGTGGTTACGACCACTAGATCAACGAGGTAGTTAGTTGCAACAAAATACGAACAATAATCTATATATAATATATTCAACATTTTCCTGGCTAACATCAAGTTAATTTCTCACCAACCAACCGTTTCATTTACGTAAATTGTATTTCGAGTTTCCTCTTTCACGTCTTAAATCGCTTTTGTACGGAGTCGTATTGGAAGCCCGCCAGATTGCGTCCGTCCAGTGCGAAATATACGATAGTTTACTTATATTTATTAACAATGAACGAATACTGTTTGAAAATGTAAATTTTATACTTAAATACATGTCTGTTGTACTCTACTTACAGTATTGACTGAATCATTATATGTGAATGTACAACTATTCTCTGGTTCTACTCCGGATATCCTCATTTCTAACCTAGTCTATCATGCAGATAAATGCAAAGGACAGAATGATATTTTGTTAATATTAGTATAAAAAATAAAAATGTTTTGTCCTGTCTATAGTGTTTATACAAGTAATCTATAACACAAGGTTATTTTGCAATAACCGGCCAAATTTGCAGAGAAGGTTCAGAATAAGTAATAATATAAGCAAATGGTGAAGAAAAATTAATTGAATAAAACTACTATTACGGATTTTATCGCGTTTAATTGATTGAAATGTTAACCCGGAGTACCTTCAGCTTTTTAAACTAATAATTAAAAAGCTGAAGGTACTCCGGGTTAACTTTGACATCGGGACGTCAATCGCCTCAGTCCCCCGTGACCACGGTTGCTAGAAAGCAACCGAAACGTCGGGAATATAAAATAACTTAATTAAACGCGATAAAATCCGTAAAAATAGTTTTATTTAATGTGTAGTGTTCGCGTAAATGTAAGAAATCATTATGAAAAATTAATTAAAAAAATTTCAAACATTCTGTCCTTTTATCTTGTAAATTCAAAATGCGTGGTAATGCATTATTTTAACTGATTTTACTGCGCACATTCGTAAGGGTCAATCGGTAGGCAAAAACGTTGTTGCCCATAAATCACATTGAATTTGGTGTAATTTCAAATAAAAGTCGAAGCCTTATTTATTTACTCGTATTTTTAAAAACTGCAGATCATGAGATCTCAAGTTCAAATCCCCATTGACAGCAACTCGGAGTCAGGAAGTAGGCGGTGTTTCACCCCCGTGCCTCGGAAAGCACGTAACGCCGTTGGGTCCGGTTGGATGAAATTTCCGTGTCATCGGACTATGAGAGTGATGTAATAAAGAGTGTACCTGCGCTTGAGCTTACCCTCTGATGCTATCATTTGAAATTAAAAATGTTGTACAACCGACTTCTATATAAATTATTAAGAATAACTCAAAAACTATTGGCCAGACCTTGATCAACTTTATATGAGACCACTTGTGAAGCACTAGCTTTCAAATAAAAAAAGAATCATTGAAATCGGTTCACCCAGTAAAAAGTTATGAGGTAACACACATATTGAAACAAAAAACATACAGTCGAATTGAGTACCGTCTCCTTTTTGAAGTCGGTAGAAAATCGCAACGTTAGCTAGTCTCCATTGAGAGTGACAGCCGAGACATTCACGGCAACTAGCCGTTCTAGGGAAACAGAAAATATTAATTTCGACTCTACTTACGAACCCCGTGGTTTAATTTAGTTTAGATATATTTTTTTTTAATTGTCTTTATTATTTTTTTTTGCTACTTTATTTCTTTATTAGCAATGCCGTGTTAGAAGCTACGGCTTCCTATATATAATTGGACGTAGTTACGCAAAAATGAACTAACCCACAAAGGCTACTTTTAAAATTTTAACATTTGGTCTTCTAGAAGATGTTTCTTAGTAGGGGTTATTTTTTAGTAAAAATAATTAATCAGCGTTTAGTGATAATGACCATCTTCGTCTCTATTGACTGAGATTTTGTTGGAATTTCTTTAATTCTATGAAAGAATATATTCTAAGGGTTATTTTTGAATACATCACTCATTTTTTACTGTGCAGTGGAAGTTAAGAATATGCACAACTCCATATGGTCCCGTGGGTGTCGGTAAGAGGCAACAGAGAAACAAATCGGGAGATGAGTAGAAATGTTTTTTTTTTATAGGATATGGGTGACAAGCGAGCACACAGTCCACATGATGGTAAGTGGTTGCTGTGATCCATAGACATCTACATCTATCATCGTTTGTGAATCAAAATGCAGATGCGTTGTCACCCATAAGGACTAAGATGGAATGCTTCTTTTCCAGTAAAATGGGTCTCCTGTTCTCTACACTCATGTCTTCCTAATAACGACTAAAAGCACAAAACTGCGGTTTAAAACCTTGGCAATTATACACACTATGAGGAAGACCTATGTTCAGCAGTGGATTTTAATAGGCTGTAACGGTAACTCATTTTTGACGCGAGTGTGGGTTGGGTCTTTTTTGTGTAGCAACGTCTAATTGTGGTATATTTGTGTGTGCAGGTCTATCTCCAGCTGAAGCGTACAACGGATAACGCCCGCAGCAACGCTCTGGACTTCGAGTACACCGTGCCACCAGGTACGGCCAGAAAGCCGCTTCCAGACCTGGCGATATACGATCTACTGCGGGACAAGCTCGCCGACGGAAACAACAACCGCACACAAACACACCAACACAACACACACACACACCTCCCCGACAACATACAAACAGACACACACAAGGACCTCGTCAGCTCCACCAGCGACGAAACTAATCCAGTCCCAGATCTCAACGGCAACGTCTCTGTCGTAATGGAAACCAATGGCGTCGATAGTGTCGATTGTGTTGACAACAACGTCATCGACTCCAACGTCGTCGACTCCAACGTCGTCGACTCCAACGTCGTCGACTCTAACGAAAAGAGTCTCGACGATCTGCTGGATCAAGTCGCCGAGCTGGACGAAATATATTCCGAGAATCGTACACGTTTGGAGAATGTCACCAGTCTAAACGACACAGAAACTGATTTAGAGGACTTCAACGACGCCGGCACCTACACCAGTTTGCAGCTAGCCTTCAAAAACCCAATACCGATATCTGAACCGGAACCGGATCCAATGTCCTACGAGGACGTCCAGGTCCAGACGTACCGCGGTCCGATCATAGAGTTCTCGCCTCTCAAACGCGACACGGAAGACGAGAGGGCGCCACCGTTGCCGCCGAAACGCGTCCGCAAAACGGCGGACTCTTTCAAAACCAGTCAGACGTCCGTCGACAGCATCCTAAAGCCGGGCAAACAGTTGCCCATCACGAGGAACAGAGAGAGAGCGGAGTTGACTGTGGCGAGAAGCGAGCCGGCCTTGCCTCCAGCACCGAAGAAGCGCTCCTTCTTCTCCAGACTGTTCCGAAAGAAGGAGAAGTCTCCCGCGCCTAGCGTGAAGTCAGAAGGGAAGAAGGATACGAGAAACAAAACGGTCGGCAGATCGGTCAGTAGCGTGTCAGGGCAAAGACCATCAAGGTTCAAATCTTCGGTATCACACACGTCTCTGAAAGACAACGCGTCTGGAGCCGGTCTGAGCTACGCGGACAGCATCACGCACATCTCCCTGCACGGAGATCCAGACTCCGAATCTCAGTGGTCGGGACGCAAGGATGGACCCATGCCGCCAGATGGCACCATCCTGGTGGCGGAGAGTGTACTTGCGCTAGACGCGTCCGCGTTTAAGAAGCTGCGTGATGAGCTGGACCTCACGGATGCTGAGCATTACGCTCTGTACATGGCCGTGGCCCCGCACGCCACAGCCTCCGAATTCGACGAAACCAGCTGCTACTACTCCCCGGTAGACGCCACCAAGTTTAACAACTAGCCGGACCGCTGCCATCTTTTTTATATAGAATAACGGTAATAAGCGAGCACACAGTTCACCTGATGGTAAGTTGTTGCTGTGGCCCATAGACATCTATGCTTGATTAAAAATCAAAATTCAGATGCGTTGTCACCTCTAAGGGCAAAGAAGGAATGCCTCGTTTCCAGTAAAAACCTCTCATAGAATACCAGCGTAAAATACTAGCTTAACGCTGCTGTGTTTCGTATGGTGAGTGTAGAGAACCGGAGATCAATTTTACTGGAAAAGTGGCATTCCATCTTAATCCTCACGGCTGCCAACGCATCTGCATTTTGATTCGCAAACGAAGATAGATGTAGATGTCTATGGGTCACAGCAACCACTTACTATTAGGTGGACTGTGTGATCGTTTGTCACCCTTATTCTATAAAAAACGGTCTCTGGTACTTCACACTCACAATATGAAAAACACCAGCATTAAGCTGCTATTTTACACTGGTATCCTCTAAGAGTGTGGTGCTTCCCCGGTCGAGTCGACCCATTCATGATAGTTGTATAATGCAGCTGCAACGTCGCTTGATCCAGATTGGAAACAATATTAACTATGGATCAAGAAGCAATGTCATGAACCCACCAATTTTATACATACCTGAACAAAACAAATAATTGTCCTCTTTCAGCACAATTAACACTCGGAAATAGTGATGTCACAACAATCTAAACTAATAACATACAAACATACCTCACTCATTTCTTTAGCCTATTACATATTTCTTAACAACACTAAATAACTTATTTTTTCAAAACAAAATACATAAAAATAAATATTTAAATTACATCATAGTAAATAAGATTTTAACAAGGCGTAAAAACAAAAAAGAATGCACAAAAATATGTCAAAAATATTATTTTAATGCTTTCAATAATGTTAATATAAACTTCTATTCCGCCCATCGTTGCCAAATTTTCGAATATCGAGTATAAATGTTTAGTGTTACTCAAATGATGCCTGTACTTAATACTTAAATACGAGAGAATCACCTGTTTGTGTAATACAAACATAAGCGATGAAAATTCTCTCCAAAACCATGAATAGTCACATTAAGCTAGTCGAATACATAAATATATTAATGATTTTAGTCAATTAACCAAGTAAGAAATATTACTGCCAACTGCCATGGTTAAAAATGGAAGTTAGAGATATAATTAGCAAATATATTGGTATAATATATGGCCATACTGTAGGTTTTTGGCAATTTATACAAGCATTATAGAGCTTATAAAAAATAAGTAATTACAATAACTACTGCTTAAGAAGTGTTATATTGTAAATCTTTCTTTAATATATTCACAATTCCTATTTTGTTAATTATTTATCGTTATTAATTTATGACAAATTCTGTTAAGTTTCATTTATTGTTGCATTTCGTTTCGTTATGTTCTAATGATTTGATATTTTCTAGATATAGTAAACGCTAAGCGAAAGAAGCCCTTATCGCCATTTTCACAAAACAGTAAGTCGTCATTTCTTGTGTATTATTTTTAATACTTATATAGTATACATATCTCAATATAATTTATTTATTTTACTTATATATAAATATAAGGGGCAAATGTCAAGGACATGCTAATGCTAAGCTTAAATATATTTATTAACAATTTGATTGTATTTTTAAGTATTAATCTTATGGGTGTTTGGGATCGGCAAAGCTCTAGAATTATATCCAAATTATATTGAAAATATTGTTGTTTGTCTGTGGTACAATATATCCGAGTTGTCTATATGCCTTTAATTTGTAGGTGTAGGGTAGATTATGTTTCTTAGAAGTGGTGATGGTGTTACTAACAATAAATTTATTGAATATTATGTTATATATTATTAGTAAAATATATTTTTGCATATCTTCTATTCGAATCGATTTTGATATTTAATGTTACTCGTTTGGTTTATAAATACTAAGTTCTTAATTTTCCGAAAAAATTAAAGATATATAATTAATATATCTATTATACTATACTTACTATGTATAAAACATGTCATGTTAAAATTTTAACACATCTTCATTGCTTTGTTACTGTAATATTTTTTGGAATTATTTTTTTTATATTCCACTTCAAGGACATCAAATTAAGTATTATATAATTCTGTATTAATACAAAATACATGTATATATTACACTTACAAGTATAGTATACAGTAATAATATACTGCTTACAAGAATGTAAACATAAACTATATAAAATGCTATGACAGCGTTAATAGTACAAAATTTTTATTATTGCATCACTTAGTGCTAATGTGAATATGTGTGCCCTTGAGCTGGTCCTAAGAGAACAAAGCTCTGTTATAAAAAATGGAAAATAATGTAAATTAGCTTTTAAAAATAGTTAAAACGATAACTTGTTTTTTTTTTTAATACGTTACTTCTTAGTTATGTTATAGCAAAATATTAGAATTACAGACTTATTCATGCAACTGAATTTGGAAAGATTCACAGTCAAATTGAACTTATAAACAGTAGTTTGAAGGTTAAACTGTTTTATGTAAGTTTAAAATATAAATAAAGCAGCTTTTTTTAGGTTATATATATACGTTGAGGGTAAGTGTGGTTTTAAAATTTTTAATTAAATAAAGAAATTATATTATAATAATGGTTTTACAAAAAGTGAGTATTTTATTAAGAGGTTACATACACTAAGTGCTGTGCAATAACTGTTTTTTTTTTATTTGTGTACACTACACATTAGTGTATACAAAGGTTGTTATTTTTTGTCTAGTTAATTCTTGACTAAATTTTTCTTATCCCTAACTAAGGACGAGATAAATGTAACGCGTTGCAGACATTTATTGAAATTTAAACTACTATTTTATAAATTAATACCTAATTAGTTTCTGAAACTTATGTATTAAATAATGTATAAACCCTTTCCCTGTCCCGTAAATCTTATAAGAACATTTCGATTGTTTAACTATTGTGTGTGTTTGGTGGACAGGGAAACTGTTAACATCACTTTATTTATAATTATGCAATTCGATTTGCTTTATTTATATTATTTATGGTGGTCAAATGAAAGTCCTACAAGGTTAAAGATTATATAAAATATTCAACAAAATTACGTACATTCTAAGTGTTTCGTAAATAGGTTTAGACTATCGCTATCGTAGGGATTGCGATTGCTATATAAATAATGTGTCATTTTATATAAATTGAAACACGCTGTATATATGTTCGAAAAAAGTACATATCTTTGTTACAAGTTTTTTAACAGATCAAAATAATAAACATTTTGAAGAATTTACAACATTAGTCTTCAGATTTTCACTGTAATTAAGGCTACAGGGTTACAATTTCAAATTATGTACTGCAAAATCCTGTACTTCGTTTGGATGACTTTACATTTTTATACATAACTTTTGATAGGGCGAAGCTTGGGCGTCGCGACATTCTGTAATATAAAATGCTATTAAAATTAAAACAAAAAATATTGTTTTTCTTTTGTACTTTCCAAAAGTGAGATTTACCCCGGAATTCGGGATCGAAGGTACGAAAAGTTTCGTGGCATGGGTGTGCAATTTTCATTTTCTCAATGTTTTTTATGTTATAAATTAGTTACTGTTTCCAGCTTGTTCTCTGTATTTTTATTTCTGACACACATACACATATTAGCCGTTAAGTTGCTAACTTTTTATACACGCATGGTTTTATTTTTCTTTATTTATTTAATTATTTGGTTTCCTTTTTTTTAATTTATTTTTGCAGTTATAGCATGCACGCTTCTCGTAAATATACTATCTGTCTAAATTAGCTTAGTGTTTTTGTTGTTAAGTGTTAAATTAACGAAATATTCGCGGGCATGGGACAACAGCATTGGAGCCTTCGATTTCTTTTACGAAACAAGAAAAAAAACTAGTATACTACCAAAGTTTAGCTGATAGAGAAAACTAAAGTTCGCCTTTGTACAAAATATATTCTTGCAATTCTTTTCTATCTATACTTTTATTAAATGTCAGTGAAGTGTCTCCAGTACTGTTTTGTCAATATCTTTATTTTCCAAAATATTTCATATTATACTGTTATGTATTACAGCTAATAAAAGTTCACTACTGAACACAAGCCTCTACAAGCCTTATAAGGTGGGATTTTGCCATAGTTGCCACGCTTGGTAGGCGGGTTGGCAATGACACTTTAATTATTTTGAGTTTTTATCTCCCTCTGTCGCCTGTTACGACACCCACGGAACGATATGGGGTAGTGAGAATATTCTCATAGCCTCTACACAGTATCGTCGACTCTTGTGAAAGATCCGAGGTTTCAGCCCTCGTGTTTCCCCTAAGCACGGCGCGTGTGTTAGTATAGTATACATTCGGTTATTTATTTTTATTAAGTTATCAATGTCAAAAATATATATTACATGTATAATGCTGTATATATTGTATACAGCTTGTACTAAAATCACTAACCGAATGTATAAACGCCATTTTTTTGTAAATAAATATGTCTGTGTGCGTTTTACTACATTTTATTAAACATATTTAAATATTTCAGTTGGTTTCCCGATGGAAATTGGAGGGCAGATCAAGTCCGAGCCGCGAGGTAAGATATTCGCCTATTTAGATATCAGTTTAATAACAATTGTGATAATCACTAATCAGTGATGCAATTTCTGCTAAAACTACTTATATGATTTTCGATCATTATAAGCTAGGGATTGACTATTTTCAAACCAGATGGTAAGTGTAGTAGTGGGTATATTGTTAAATGTTGGTATGCAGTGCAAAATTAAAATAAATGCTACATACAATGATGCTATGATTTACATAGTAGAGCCATGCTGCAGTTACATTATGTTTGTATCACAAATGGGTCGACTCAACCAGAGAAGCACCAGACTCGCACAGAATACCAGCGTAAAATAGCAGCTTAATGCTGCTGTGTTTCGTATGGTGAGTGTAAAGAATCGGAGACCCTTTTTACTGGAAATGAGGCATTCCGTCTTAGTCTTCATGGGTGACAACGCATCTGTATTTTGATTCTTTATTGAGGATAGATGTAGATGTCTGTGTCACAGCAACCACTTACCATCAGGTGAATAAAAAATACAAAATATACCGGCGATAGGGAACAACGTATAAACCTGAAGAGGTCTGGCGCCGAGAGGCCAAATATGCAGGGCAAAATTTGTACGGTGTCTTTATATTATATATCTCTGATATTTTTCACTATCGACTCTTTTGTACTATTTGAATGCTGGGATGGATTTTGAGCGTAATTTGTTTTAATAAATCTCTTTTTGTGCAGATTCACCGAGCAACATGCGCAGTCCGCCTCAACACGTGTATCCGCCTTACGAACACGAGCCCGTCCAGGTAAGCTACTGCCGTACTTGAACACACTACTGGCAGATGGTTCTAGAACGGAGTGAATTACCGCCGATTTAGGAATCACTGTTGATAAAAAGAGACGGAGAGAGAAATGACTTAATAGCAGTGTCCGACCAAAGCTTCGACTTCAAATTTGGCTTCGGCAAAACACCTTCGGCGAAACCTTTGACTTCGTCCAAAATGAGCAGAAGTTTTGGGCGAAACTGAAGGTTTCTGTGCCGAAATTGAACGAACTGTTAGGAATGAGCGAGAGTGCGATGGACGTGACTACGCAATTTTTATCATCTCTAGATCAACTTCAAGACACGATTAAAATTACTATTTTATATTACACATACAGTGAATGTAAACTTCAATGCAAATGTCAGCACTGTAGCACTGATCCGAAAGGTCCAATTTTGAATGACTCTGCCGAAAAGGTGTCGGAGAACATCGGACTCTCCGCGCCGTCAGGAACAGTTATTCTATCATAGAAAAAACTATTATCATTACAGCCTGCAGTCCACAACTGAACATAGGATTTTATACGTGGTAGAGCCATGCTGCAGCTAAGTATATTTCTGGTATAGTTGTAACACGAATGGGTCGGCTCGACCGGGAAAAGACCACGCTCTCACAGAATACCAGCGTAAAATAGCAGCTTAATGCTCCTGTGTTTCGTATGGTGAGTGTAGAGAACCGGAGACCCTTTTTACTGGAAACGAGGCATTCCATCTTAGTCCTCACGGGGGCAACGCATCTTCATTTTGATTCGCAAACGAGGATAAATGTAGATGTCTATGGGCCACAGCAACCACTTACCATCAGGCGGACTGTGTGCTCGTTTGTCACCCTATCCTATAAAAAAAAGGACTGACCCAATTGCCCCATAGGATATTTGCTATAGCTGCCACGTTTGGCAGGTATGTTGGCAACCACAATGATTTCAAATATTTTGAGTTATTATTAGAAAAACTCTGCTGCATATCTTTTGTTTCTGTTTCAGTTTCCATCTCTTAAAAAGATGATATAAGATGATACAGGGTAGTTATTTTGATTAATATGATAAATATTAGAATATTTTGTGTTACTTCTGTAATTTCGATTTTCTAATTAAGCTTCTTCCTTTATTTATAATATCGTTTGTTTACACAGCCTTGGCCAATGGACATGCCTCCTTCCCTAAACATGCCGGGTACAAGTCAAGTCAATCAGTACGGGAGCCAGGGCATGACTTGGATGGACCAGAACTATCTGCAAGCTCAGCATCTGCAGCCCAGCTCCCCGATGCAGGCGATGTCGCCGCACATGCAGCCATTGTCACCACACATGCAGCCACTGTCGCCACATATGCAGCCACTTTCGCCGCACATGCAGCAGCTGTCTCCCATGGGACACTCCCCGCTGTCTCCGGCCATGGGCCACGCCTCGCCAGCAATGGGACACATTTCCCCGGGGTTGAGTCACGCTCAAGGGCAATACGTCCAGAGCATCGACCAGCAGAATCTTATTCAGGTTAGTGTTCTATTGGAATATGCTGTAACACCCTACTTCACTCCCTTAGAGGTTAAATTTTCTAAAATCTTTTCTTAGTGGGTGTCTACGTCGAGAAAGGATTATATGTATAATGTGCCAAATTTCAAATTAATCGAATCGTCTCATGTGAGAAATTGCGTCGGCATTAGGCCGAAGAGTACGGTCTTTAAGCTGCAGATCAGAGGACGCACTTGTTTTATTACCTCGGCATTGCCATGGCTATAGGACTTTTTTGTGACAATGATTCTTCTTCAGAAAGACTGTCAATAAGCCATGGTTTTGTGATTAGACCGTATATGTAGTACACATATTGTGTGTGTGTGTGTGTGCGCGTGCTTGTGTTGGTGCGTGTGCACGTTCGCGTGTGCGTGTGCACGTGCGTGTGTGTTTATGTGTGAGTAAGTGAGTGTGCGTGTGCGTGCGTGCGTACGTGTGTGTGTTAACTATTAAAGCATTATCATGTACTTTTTCAAATTGCAGCAGGACATGGATGTGACATCCAACAGCACACCTTCCATCTCCAAGCTACTAGAGGTTCAAGGTCAGGGTGAAGAGATACGCCTGAGCTCCGACCTCTCCTTTCCTATGTGTGGCGCGGACCTCAGTGATAGTTTGAAGGAACTTTCGACCAAAGACTTGCTGGATAACACCGAGTGGCCTCCACACGGGGGTGGCTAGATCCTAGGCTGGATATGTCCCAGCCTTTAACCATAGTTGTTCAGTGAATTGGTACATTGCAAAAACACAAAGTGAAGAACTTCAGTAGTAGTTTAAGGTGACCTAATTTGTTTTGTTACGAGTACATGAAATGTGTTTGACATAATTATGTAAAATGAACTTGAGATTTGGAGAAGAAATTGACTTTAATTATTTTAAGTATGATGTATGGATGAATGGTCAAAAGCGGTTTTGTGTTGTTTAAATTATTTGAATATAAATAAATAAAAATAATCTTTTGTAAATGCGACGTTCGACAAATTAAGATAACTTAAAAAGAAGCAATTATATGCCGTTCCTAAGTTGTTGAACCAGTATATTGTTAAAAACTTTTTCCATACATTGGGGAGGGAGAATAAAAAGGTTTTTAAATATAGAAACCAGGCATACATTTTTACTCTCAATATGGTAGTTGACACTCACATAGGTGAACGAGAGAAAGCAATTTCTACGTACTAAACATTAATAATCGCAAACATAAATGTTAAAAAATATAATAAACAAAAAGGTAACAATTTATTAAACTTAAAAAAAAAAGAAGAACTACGTGCTGAGACGAATGTGTATTGAAACATTGAAACCACGTGTGCGGATGCTGTTAAACTGTGTAAATTATTTTATTCTATTTAGTTTTTGTACTCGAGTTTAACTTCTTTAATTTTAATTATTTGACTCGTTTGAGGGTATTCAACAATATCAGAACTACTATTTTTCAACCTTGGAACCCTGGAATGTTATCGGATTTAATTTAAAAAAAAAATCGTTTCACAAATGGCGAAGATATCACGTAAAATGTATGTATCATTTCTTTCATTTCACTTTTGAAGCTAGAAATGCTTCATGTTTTATTTGCTTTCACTGGATATCATTATCGTCAAATAAATCTTTATGTTAAGTTATCAAAGTGTAATCAACCGAATTCAAATATGTTGCTACATCATAACCGTGTCAACTATCTATTCTGCCGTGAAAATGGACTGAAATATTAAACAATATTAAAAAGAAAAATTTTACGTTTGACCATTTATTATGTTCTCATTTTTCTACTATAATTGTGCTCATTATATATTACGTTGACGACAGCTTTGCGTAACTTGAACACCATAGCTAGAATTAAGTCCTAGTTAGAAAGCATTTGCCGATATTACATTATATTCCGAGCTATTAAAGTTCAAAATCGAGTGGACGTCGTTACGCAGAAAAGGGTCTAACCCACAAAAATCTACTTTTGTGACATTGAATATCAAAAATTGCTGCAATTATTGGGGCAATACAACATTGTTTTGTTTCTTATTTGAATCTAGTTGCTTTTAACCCGACCATATGTTGGATCTTTTTTGCGTAAATACATGTAAATCTGATATCCAATAATAGTGTAGAAAGCTACATTTTCATCATTTTCAAAGAGCTGATCGAAACAAACGCCTGTCATATTTTCAAATTTGTTTTCCCATATTCTGTGTTTTAATATAATATTTTTCTAATATTTTAAAAATGTAAATATTAGTTTGTTCAAAATCTTAGATCTCCGAAACTTCTTCACCGATTGCTTTTTTTTTAATTTTGACACAACGTTGCTTTCGAATTCGCGCGTGATTTCATATAGTTCTTGAAAAAGTTTTTGAGCTACAGCGACGCGTGACCGTTAAAAAGACTTGATGTTATAATTTGCACATAATATATTTGTTTAGCCGAGACGAAAGTTCAAAGCTATGCTAGGATCCAGTAGATGGCGCTATGGTCAAGGTTATAAAAAAATCCTTATTACCTAAATGATTCGTAATATATAATGTTATTTATAGTGCCAAGAAAAACACATAAAAACCCATGTGTTCCATGGTCTGGATATGAATAAATTTTATATTAACACAATCTCAAAGTGCACGTTCATAAGCGAGCTATAGAAAAAAGCTATCTGATCAAACTAAATTATTTTAAAACAGAACAGTTTAAAACAAGTTACAGTGACAGTTTTTGTTCTGAATTGTCGCTCTACTAGTGTACATAGAAGTCTTTGATCAACATGTTTTTTTTTATATTTGTGGGTTTGTTTTAGCCAGCTCTTTTAATGTGATCAATATACTTGAAACTTGTGACTCATAAGCTCATAACACAATTTCTATCTATAATAATATTTAGATTAATTTGATATTCTATGAATAATGATTTGTTTAAATAACTCTCCGCTATAGTCTGAAATATTTGTTAAGCATATCAGCTAGAGTCGATAATTTAAGCGTTTGATAGATGTAACTAAGTTACAATAGGGGCTTGTTAATTCATTGTATAAACAGATAATAAATGTCAAGCTACAATATCGTCTCTACTGGCTTAGAAATGACTGTTGAGCTTTTTGACAATAATCACGAGATGAATTTTAGTATTCTAGGGCATAAGGACAGAATACTGATCAATATATATTTTTACTTTTTAATTTACAATAAGGAATGAGAATTATTGTATTGAGACACATACAGCCTTCAGTGCTTATTTGTGAAATTTACATTAGTTTTATCATGTAAGGGTTATACTCTCGTTATTATTTTATGTCACAAATGCGAACATCACATTAGTATTTTTTGGAATCACAAAATAATGAAATCACAAAATAATTTTTAAAATTAAACTTAAACTAGATGATTGTGTGGCCCATTGTTCACACCGACTACCACGGATTCCTGAGTAGAGTACCAACTGATGCCAAATTGATGTCACTGATGATGTCACACCAGTTGTTGGTTTTCAGTTTGTATGTGTTTTGTGGGGTTGCCAATATATCAACTATAGTATTTTCGAGGCTATTATCTCTAAAATATAGTAGGTGGTGAAAAAGTAAGAAATACATACAGTATGTTTCAAATAAATATTTTATTTCTTAAGAGAATTTTTGTTGACTTTAGCTTTTATTAACAGTTTTTTGCTATAGTCACTCCTTTTTATAATTTAGTAGCTTTGTCTACTATTTATTAATTGGAATTGTATTATTTTGTCTCCTAATAATATCTATCTATACATATAAAAAAGGATATTTGTATATACGAAATCGCTTAACTCAAAATCTATTTGATCGATCATCATGAAAATTGGTATATATATAGATTTTTTTTCAATGGAAGTTTATATTTATAATACAAAAAAAATAAAAAATCGGTATTTTTTAAAAACAAACAAAAATATTTATTTTATTTTATTTGCTTTTTTTTGCAATTTAGCGCGGCAATTAATAAATTAAATTGCATGCGCTTAAATAAAAAACGTTGCTGAACACAACCTATGATATTAACTGGCAGACCAGCCAACGTCTGCCGGGTTAAGCTAGTTCAGTTAGCTTGCCATTTTATTTTGTTCCCTAATAATGTAGTAGTATAAATAAAGTAGAATTGGCAACCCTACCTTCATACCAACCATATGATCTTTTCGCGCATTCACTTTAGTTGGCTTCTAATTATTCAAAAGATATCGCTGTGATCCAAAATCATTTCAAAACTTGAACATCACAAAATTGATGCTTTATAAATCCAAACATTCCTTGCTTATGTCATTGGTGCTATCAATTTTTTTATATCATTTATTGATACAAATCTATTTTAACATCACAAAATCCTCGACGGTATTCTCATATAAATAAAATCTAGATTATTCAATATGAAAAATGTTATTATTTAAGAAACAAATTTGATATTATACTGTAATATAAAGAGATTTTTATTAAATATTTGAGATTATTGACAAAGTTTTTTAAGAGTATTATATTCAATTTGCTTTATTATTATTGATTATATGTACATTCCACCACACACTAGCCTCGGATAATTTTGTATATGCTCAATAATACTAAATTTTAAGACGCCGTTAATTCTCGTGCTGTCTCTATCACTTTAAGCCAAAGTGACTGTGACACCACGAGACTTAACGACATCTTAAAATTGAGGTAGCGTTGACTAATAGTAACAAATTTTTTTTTTGTATTATTAAAGAATTATATTTCTCCATTTATCAAAATATTTCATTGATATAACGTAATGCTGTTCAGTTTGGTAAAAAGCCTTATGTTATTACTTCGTATAACTAAATGGGCTATTATGTAATACTGCGTAATTTCTATGTCAATGGTTAACATTAGAATATGCGTAATTATTCTGAGGCTGTATTGTTCTTTGCAACTATTAACATTTTAATGAGTGTGCATTAGTTAAATAACTTACATCGTGTTATATGTTTGCTATTCAATAAGTTACACTTCAAACCTCCACTTTTCCTTATCTTGCGACTGCTTGGGTTCGAATCCCGGAGTCAGGAAGTTGGTGGTGTTTCACCCCCGTTCCTCGGAAACCACGTAAAACCATTGGTCGTGCGCCTGATCTCCCTCCGGTCGTGTCGGTTTACCGTCCCATCGGACTATAAGAGTGAGGGAACAGAGAGTGCACCTGTGCTTGCGCATACACTTGGGCACTATAATCCTGCCCTGTACAGATGACTAGTCTCCGTTGATGAGACTGGCCGCCGTGACCGATATCCGGTCTGGAGGACATTTCTATTATTATCTTCCGAATGGAAATTTTATTGACTCTCTTTAATCATCAAATGTTAAAGTATGCTAAGCTCAAGAAATATCTACTTATTGTAATGAACTTCGCTCTTGTTACGTAAAACGTGAATTTAACGCATTGAAAATGCGTGATATTTCTGTTGTCATTTTCATAGTATAAAAACAAATAAAGATTTTATTTCAAAGAACCGAGTTGTTTGTTTTACAAAATATTTTTTTTTAATTAATAGATGGTTGATTACATTCGTAAATCAAAAGACAAGAGAAAATGCACGCTACACACAGTTGAAATCATATGAATCACCTACGTCAAAGAAATCGTGGAACCGTGCCCGAATTTTTATTTTAGTTAAAAAAATCATATGACACACGAACATGGACGCACGGACCATGGAGTATAGAGTAGAAGGGGAACCATCTATGGGGGCAAAGTTGAAAAAGTGTCCAACTGTATACTGAAATTAGAGGTTCCAAAACCTACCACAATAGCGCTGACGTCTGAAAAACTACGATATGAATGTAGCTGTTGTAGACGGAGTGAAGTCCGCTGAATTCCAGTATTTAAAAATTTTCATGACTAGAGTAGTTAGTAAAAGCCAGTATACAAAAGCTCAACAATTTACGTAGTACAAAACCAAGCGGATCGAGTTCACACAATGTCATCATCATTGTAAGTTGCGTTTAGTTTATCGGTTTCTTGTGTGTGTATATGTCACAGTCCAAACTCATATCCGGTCAAAACCACTTTTGATTGCGAAAATCAGGCATAAATAGTTTCGATCGATGCCCTTAGTTAAAATTGGTATGACTAACGTCCTTAGTCTAAAACTACTTTTGCCTGATTTTTGCAGTCAAGTGGTTTTGACCGAATATGAGTTTTGACAGCAATATACTCGTATATACATACACAAAACATTGCCTTAATGCTGTATCCGTTTTATACATTTTTAGATTTGTTTTAATTCGTCTTTTATTAGGTTTATCCTTTTCTAATTAGATTAGAATATAAAATATACCTTTTTTATATAGGATAGGGTGACAAACGAGCACACAGTCTACCTGATGGTAAGTGATTGCTGTGGCCCAGAAACATTACATCTATCCTCGTCTGCGAATCAAAATGTAGACGCGTTGTCAGTCGTGAGGACTAAGATAGAATGCCTCTTTTCCAGCAAAAAAGGTCTCCGGTTGTCTACACTCACCGTACGAAACACAGCAGTGTTAAGCTGCTATTTTACGCTGGTATTCTGTGAGAGCGTGGTTTTCCCCGGTCGAGCCGACCCATTCGTGCTACAACTATACTACCAATATAGCTGCAGCATGGCTCTACCGCGTATAAACCTAACTAATAATTAACATTAACCTTTACACTATAATAACAAATTAACTCCCCCACCCCAACCTAAATCCTAAATTGGGCCGCCTTGATTACAGAAAAAGTCGTTGATCATTGGACCCATAACAAAATCTTCCAAATGACAAGTGAATATGTACATCATCATCTTTGCAGGCCGTAAGTCTACTTGCTTAACATAGGTCTTTATAAACTGCGGTCATGATATGACGGTCATGCCTACCACAAAGTCAAACAGCATAGTGTTAGACTCCGCCATAATGATTAGTTCGTGGTAAATAAGTAAGCTATGTATTCGCTAATATGCTCTTAATGTCTACCAGCATGGAAAGTTCCAATGAAGCGGTAGTTACCAGAGATAACCCACGCAAAGCAGTTAATACTAAGCATAGCCTTATTGTACAACCTTCGATTGAATCCTTCCAAAAGTAAATTGTGCGCGATAGCACAGCCAAAAGGATCAGTCAAATACCACTGGAATTGAAGGCGTTCTCTTAGTATACTTGTGCCCGAAATGCAGCGACAGTAGGTTATCTTTGCATAATGTGTATTGACGGTGTAAGAACATCCACTACCCCATATCATTCCGTGGGTGTCATAAGAAGCGAATGAGGGAAACAAATCAGGAGATAGGCAGCAGCGGCTTCCAAATAACGACTAATAATATAAAAAACAGCGATTGTCAACCCAATTGACAAGCATGGCAACTATGGCAAATATCCTCCCCATGACGCAATCTATGGGAGAGTCCTATGTAAAGCAGGGGACTTCAATAGGCTGTAAAGGTAACGGTTCTGTACAAAATGCCGTTGTTGTTTGAGTAATTTCGAACTCTGGTGAAAATATTGGCTTCGTTTTGACATTTGTGTTTTGATTGTTGTATTTTATAAATGTATAATTATTTATCAGTACATATTTATTAGCAAGCCTTATCCGACACTATTCCGATGATATCCCGGACGTCAGACTGAGCGAGATTAGAATGGCTCTCCAGCACATTAAAAACGGCAAGTCCCCTCGCAAGGATGGAATTACAGCGGAGCTGGTGGAAAACCGGTACTTAAAGTCCTTCAGAAGTTCTTTGATACCGTCCTCCATGGTGACACTACTCCAGAGGCGTGGAGCAGAAGTGCGGTGGTCTTGTTCTTCAAGAAAGGCGACAAAACTCTCTGAAGAACTACAGACCGATTTCCCTTCTGAGCCGCGTGCTGCTTTCGAGAGTCATTACGTATCGTCTCGCACGCAGACTCGACGACTTCCAGCCTCCCGAACAAGCCGATTTCCGAAAAGGCTTTAGTACCACAGACCACATACATACTCCTCGGCAAATTGTTCAGAAAACCGAAGAATACAATCTGCCACTTTGTCTTGCGTATGTGGACTATGAGAATAGCCTTTGATTCCGTCGAAATTCGGGCGGTGCTACAATCCCTTCAGCGGTGCCAAGTTGACTGTCGGTATATCAAAGTGCTGAAGTGTTTGTACAGTAGGGCTACGATGTCTATCTGAGTACAGAACCAGAGTACGAAACCTATCCAACTGCAGAGAGGTGTAAAACAGGGTGACGTAATATCCCCGAAACTATTCACCGCTGCATTCGAATACGTTTCCAAGCTACTGGACTGGAAAGGATACGGTATTAACGTCAATGGCGAGTACAACACTCACCTTCGATTTACCGACGATAGTCCTTACGGCAGAATCATTGGAGGACCTAAGCATTATGATCAATGACCTCAATAGTGTCTCCCAACGGATAGGTCTTAAGATGAACATGGACAAAACAAAAATCATGTTTAACCCCCATGTCACACCTATGCCGGTAGCTGTTGGGAACACTAAGCTCGAAGTTGTTGACAACAGTACAACCAGTGCAGAAGGAGAATGGGGAGGAGAGGTTCTCCCCGAGAAGGTGCTGCCATGGGGCGGCCGGCGCTGGTGGGGCCGCCGATGTGTGCGAAAGCGTTCCCGTGGCCCTGCTAATATGCGGCGAAGGTGGAACACCATGTGGGGTTTTAGTCGGTGGAGTCCGACATAACACGTCCTTGCCCCGCGAGGCGGGTATGCGTAGGCATTTCCCCATGTAAAAAAGGGCGTCCCCCCACTAGATGGAGTGACGACCTGATAAGACATGCAGCAAGTCAATGGATGCAGGTGGCTCGGGATCGTAGACTATAGTGAATTAGTTAATGAACACTGTAATTTAAAATAAGGTAATATTAAAATAAAATACATGGAATTATAATAGATATGTCATCATCATCATTATCATTACAGCCCATCCATCCAGTGGGGGGACGCCCCACACTTAGCCTACCCGTACGCGGCTGCCACTTGAGAAGCCTTCTTCCCCATCGGTTGTCGGTTCTTCGGCCGTATGGCCGGCCAGCCGATTCAGCAGCCAGCTCAGTCATCACTGGCAACCATTGATAAATATATATAGATATACCTGGCTTGCTATGCTTCTAAGTCAGTGCTGGCTACACGCACTGGTTGTCCTGCAGTCCATAAAGAAAAAAAAACAATGAGTCAAATCTCGAATGACAAGTGTCAAATTCAAATGTCAAGCTCAAGTGTCAACGATCGCATGTCTTGGAATTTTGGCGGGAACTTGATCGGCGGCGGCTTGCTGCTCCTGTATTATTGTTTAAATAATGGTTTGAAGTGGACTTTGATATATTAAAGTGGTGCGATTTTGTGTATTAAGTGTCTGCGCATGTGAACTATTAGTGGAAACTGTGAAACAAGTGCTCTGATGGTGATGGATTCTCAAGATAAGCTGTTTGTTTGCATAGGCGCCTTTAGATACCATTGCCAACTGTCAGCTGCCTGCTGGCTCACGTTGCCGTCAAAATCTCCCAAGAGCTGCACAATGAGACGCATCAACATATTGTGAAGCAGTGAACTAAGAAGAATAATTACACATGAAGACAAGGCTGTATGGCATAGTTCCTTTGCCTGCTTTCTCGAGCGAATAATAAAAAAAACAACAACAACAACAATCGCAATCGCATGTCTTGTCACACCTAATAATAATACTATGTAATTGTATTTGTTTTTATTTACATACTTCTAATAGTATTGTTTTTGCCTTCAAACTTCTAAAGCTTGAATAAATCATCATATTTTATCCAAGGTCCTAAGAGTCTGCTATACATACTAAACCGCTAAACGTCAATTATACTCTGACAGTTATTGCTAAGCAACAATAACTAAACAATAATTAATAGAATCAGGCGTTATAACAACCATAATAAGTAAACCCTCAAAATTATTCATATAGCAAAAATTAATCACACATTTTTATATCCCATTAGGATATGACAGATCCATTTAATTCTAACTTCCCAGAACCTAAGAAAGTAGGTGTCTGGACGGAGGGAACTCACATAGAAGCGAAGTAAGTCTTATAGTTCTTTTACAGTATAAATAATGTTGATTCTAGAGTTCATACTGTATTCTAAGATAGCATATTAAGTGTACCCATTCTTTTAACCCTTCATTCTGGTCTGCAGCAGAACTAATAGTGTTTTGTAGTCTACCAAATCTTGAGAGAAAAGATTTTTTGTGTACAATGCAGTTATATTTTCCCATGAGGTGCCCGTTTTTTTAGCAAACATAATTTATAAAAAACAAGACCATAAAAAGCGGTAAAATTTTGTTTTGTAGAAATTCTCATTGAAATTGATTGAGTCCTCCAGCAATAAGGACTATATTGTCGATAAATGGAAGGTGAATCACTTACCTTCATTATTTACTGTACTTACTTTATTTATTTTTACATTGATTTAAAATAGTATTTTATAAATTTTTAGAGAGTTTGTTATA